ATTCATTAATCTAGATAAGAGCTCGGTACATTTTAGTGTGGGGTGTTCAACGGGGCTGAAATCTACTCTACCCCAGATTTTGGGGATTAAACATCAGGAATGATTTGGGAAATATTTAGGTATACAAGCTGATTTTGGAGCGTCGAAGAAAAAGGTGTTTGAAGAAGTTCGGAATAAATTGGATGAACGAATTAATGGCTGGGCGGAACAATTTTTATCGGTCGCAGGTAAGGAGGTGCTAATTAAAAGTGTTGCGGCGGCTTTACCTATTTATACTATGTCATGTTTTCAACTGCCTATTCAATTGGCAAAGGAAATAGAGCAAACTATAGCGCGTTTTTGGTGGAGGGATCAGAAGACGAAAAAAGGTGTTCATTGGCTTGCTTGGAAAAAGGTGGCGCAAAGGAAGATCTCTGGGGATCTTGGCTTTAAGGACATTATTGAGTTTAATTTAGCAATGTTGGCTAAGATTGGATGGAGATTGATCTGTGCTCCGGAGTCTCTGTTGGCTAAAGTACTTAAAGCTAAGTATTATCCTACGTCATCTTTCCTTGAGGCATCAGTGGGACGTGGAACTTCTTGGGGTTGGAAGGGCATTTTACAAGGGCGGAAAATTTTGAAGTCGGGTATTAGATGGCGGGTTGGTGATGGGCGCAATATTCAGGTTATTGTGGATCCTTGGTTGCCCACACCAAGAACTTTTCGGCCTTTATCAAGACATCCAGAAATGCCTCAGATGGTTGCGGACTTGGTGTCCGTTGATGGAACTTGGGAACGTGAGATCGTTCAAAGGTGTTTTACTGGTGATGAAGCACAGCTTATTCTGAGCATGTCGTTGAGTCGATTGGGGTGTGTTGATCGTATCATTTGGCATTATACCCGTAATGGAGTCTATTCGGTGAAGTCCGGATATTTGGTAGCCCAAGAGATGAACAGGAATGGTGAACTAGGGAGGAAAGGAGGTGGGCAATCTAGTACGAATGATACTCTGGCTTTGGTCTGGCGGGATCTTTGGAGTTTGAAGGTTCCCCCTAAACTCCGCCATTTCATATGGAGAGGATGTCGGAATATCCTTGTTGTCCGCACTAATTTGCAAAGGCGAGGGGTTAGATTGAGTACGGATTGCCCGTTTTGTGCTTGTGAGGAGGAAACACAGGTTCATCTTTTTTTCAGATGTTCTTTTGCTCGTGTCTTTTGGTTTGGCTCTCCGATTCAATTAGATGTGAACGTGGTGGTGGGTGACGATTTTATGCAGTGCTGGACTTGGTTGTGTACGAAATATGGCAAGTTAGATGAGGCTTGTACGTTTATACGTTGGGTAGTGTGTGGTTTATGGCGAATTTGGAAGTGCCGTAATAGTGTGGTGTTTGAGAAGGTTGTGGTGGAACCTACTGTGGCGCTACAGTTACTACGGCAGCAATGGATGGAGATTGTGGAAAGTGATGAGGATTTTTCCTCGGACAATAGTTCTGGGTGCATTGGGGATGGCACAATTGCGAATGGGTGGGTAAAGCCTCCGTTTGGGACGATAAAAATAAATTGTGATGGTGCCTGGTGCAATCGTACTAGTGTGGGAGGATATGGGTGGGTTGCTAGAGATTTTGCAGGTATATTTAAAGGTGCTGGCGGTGTGGGGAAGGTGTTCTGCGGTTCTAGCTTTATGGTGGAAGCCGAGGCTCTTCGGCTGGCTGTAATGGCTGCGGTGGATAGGGGTTTTCATAGTGTTCATGTGGAAACGGATTCAAAGGTTCTTGTGGATATGGTTCATGGAAAGTTGCAACCTGATGCAACTATGGACGCTATTTTGTGGGATATTAATCTTCTTCAGCAACAAGTAGTTTCTTTGACGATTAGTTACACTCCTCGTGCCTGTAATGAGGCCGCGCATCTTGTGGCAGCTTATGTCACCCGTATGAGGGGTGCGTATTCCTGGGATGATTTGGAGCCTGAGTGGTTGTTCAACACTCTTGCGTCTGATGTAAACATTTCAATTCGTATTTAATACTATGTGCTCTTTGACAAAAAAAAAAAAATATAGCAAATAAACCAATAAACTTATAACGGTTATTTAGTTCAATTAACTATAACTATACCATCTACACAAGGCATAAGACAAAACGAACAAAATAATGGTGAAAGGTTACAGGTTGGCATCTTTTGAATCAAACTAACTTGCACTACATTTGGAAGCAGTTAACATATGTACTTCTTTATGTAAAACTACAAACCAAAAGATTCTATCATGAAAAAGAAAATGCACGCAAAAACATACATGATAGAATATTGTTCTCAAACAAACATAGCAATCAAACCATAACTTGTAATGAGTAATTGTTTAAGGTATGGCAAGGTTGGAGACCTTCTTACAAATATTACTTGAAATATGGGGGAGTTTACTCAAGTGTTGGCAAATTACTTATCAAGTCCGAACGCATGGTTGGAGGAATTACGTTGGAAAACAACTACTCTTGAATGAAATATAATTTTATAAATGGAAGTCTACACCATAAGTGATAGTCACCGACCTAATGGATCCAATTAATTAAAGGTTTGACTAGAGAGTAAGTTGTATTATAAAGGGGAATGAGTTAAAAGCCTACGTCTTAAAAATAGCCATAATGGCAACCCAACCTAGCTCACTGGAGATCCCAAGATCTATGCTCAAGGGGACAACCGAATTGTTGATGATTCAATGGGAGCAATGCGGAGATAATCTCCTACCCATGTCCTATTATGAAACAGTGTTATCCGCAGCGTGTTTAGGATAAACTTGGCTTTTAATGATTCCCATACTTGGAAATAACAAGTAAGGTATTGCAGGATACTCTTAATGGGATAGTATTAGACCTAATTTTTCTAACAATCTTGAGATAAGTTTACGTCCTACTACGGTGCTCATGGTTGATCGGCGCTTGTCTCTCAAGATACAACGACCACGTCCTTGTAATAGTAGCACTCCAAATCACAAGGCTCCATGAACCACGATTGTGTTGAAAACTCTTTCATATATATGGACTCAGTGAGACTCTCCAATAATTATGTAAACAATGAAAAGTTATTTAATGACTATAGGGGATTCCCTGTTTATAGAATTTGAGATACCTCTTTAGAAAGCATGTGATTATTCATGAAGAGTCAAAAGTTGCAACTCTTTCGTTAGAATAGACACATCTTTCTACCAAAAGACATCACTTCTAATTTTCATTCAATTAATAAATTTAATATAATAATAATAATATTAAATTTTCCAACACTGAAAACATATATATGAATGATTCTGCAATTTGAATGTTGGTATATCAGCACATAGCAGCCGATCGAACGACAAAAAATCTCTGGTCGATCAGGATTCACATTTCACAGTAATTATTCCGTCTTGAAATACATACATATATATATATTACAAAACGTTAATGAATTAATATTAGTTACAAAAATGTTACCGTATGTTGTCCAAATATAATGGTAGACTTGACTCCAATTTTTGGAGTATGAGCTATTTTGTACATGGTATTCTGCTATTTATACATCGGCAAAAAAATTGAATATAAACAGATTTATTTTAATTTAATTATTCCATTAAAGCCACCTTCATTACAATTGCACGATATTATAACCATGAATCAATCAATATTGCTCAATATTCAATAGTGGATGAGAGTGACCTTATACTCAATAATGGCATCACCATTGGTAACATTTAAATAACTAGTTTTCAGCTTCGCAAACCCTCTCGCCATTCTAAACCTCCCTCTCCCTCCCACAACGGCCAACTCCCGATTCGTCTCCGTCACCGGATTTCTCGAAAACACGCTGAATGAGCTCCCCTTAAACTTACCCTCAGTAAAACCGAAATCAACGTACATTACAAGCCCCAGCCTGCTCTCATCCTGGACTGACGACACGTAGAGCCCTTGAGCGTTCCCAATAACTTTGGAAGTGGCCTCAGGGCCCTCTCGTAGAGGGTCGTCGATGGCCCACACGCTGCCGAACGGCGTGGGGGAACTGTCATTCTTCGTCCTGTATGGACGTGCGACTTCTACAGCACTAGGTTTGTCGCCGCTGATGATGTCGAAGAGGTAGAAGTGGAGGCGCGTGACCTTTTCTTCTTGATGGACATTTGGAAGTGTGTGGGAATGGTAGCTGCAATGTGTTGGTGTGACCGCGACGGTTAGGAGAGTCAAGGCCAATCCAAGAACCAAACTACCGCGTTCCATATTTTTAACTCTTGTTTTGTTGTGCGAGGAACTGGTGGGGTTAAGGACCAAAGACGTTGTTTTATATAGCTAATAAATTAGTCTTATAAAGTAATAATAGCTAATAAGGTAAAGCTATATTTTGTGCTAAAATATTTAGAGGAGAACATTTGGATAGGTTCATTCTACTTAATCATACCGATATAATCATCATTATATTATTTTGTAATGGATATTTTCCCTTTTTTTTTCTTATTTTCATTAAGAATGAATCCGGACAGATAATTTCAAGTTGGTAAGGATTTACTAGGCTGTGTCCATCATACCGCATGGTGTTATAGTCTATTCACGTTTTTTTTTTTCTGTTAAATTATAGTCCATTTATGTTTATAACACATATAATTAGACTCGTCAATCAGTCATATTATAACATCTTGATGTAACACCATCGGTACTTACTCAGACTTAGGAGTCCGAGATTTGAATAGGAATGTAGGATCGTATCTGCACATGTTTATTTCCCCAAGTTAGAGTTCCTGATGTATATTAGCAACCATAAAAGAAGCTAAATCAGAAGTAAGGGACTTGAGCATGCATGCACGCACGTAATTATATATCAGCACTAATGTTGTAGACTTTGGTGCCAATTTTGCAATCTAGAATTTAGGCTACCAACCCAAATAAAATGGCATCAAATTAGGGAGATAGAAAAAAGATTATTAGGGATAATTACTCTCATTATGCCTAATGCACAACATACATATCATAATAAAATTAGTAAACCGATCACCTAAAACAAAGATCTCGTGAGATAGAATCCAAGAAAATAGTCATCACCCTCAACAATCAAGCAAACCAGAAATTAGTATTCAAAGTTTAAACTCTAGTGAATAACAGTGACATTGTATTCAACAATTGCATCGCCCATAATATTAAACCAATGCGTCCGGGCAATTGCATAACCCCGGGCGAACTGGAAAATGCCAGTTCCGGCCACAACCGGCATCTCCCGAACCAGATTCAGAGCCGGGTTCTTACCGAAAATACTAATCGAGCTCCCATCGTAAATGCCATCACAGAACGCGAAGCACATGGCCATAGTAAGCCCAAACTCTTGCTGCCCGGATGACCCGTACATCCCCTGCGCCCGGCCCACGAGCTTGGAATTCGGGTCAGGCGTTTCGGTTAGCGGGTCATCTACCATGAGCAGAGCTCCGAAAAGGGTGAGGGACTTGTTGGTGTCTGTGGCTTGGGCTATACGGACGGCACTTGGGTTCTCCCCACTGACTGTGTCGTGGAAGTAGAATTGGAGGTTGGTCACTGTCTCTGACGACGTCATTTTCTTCCTTGTCTTGAGCTTCTTGGCCCACTTGGGTTGTGTGGATCTGCTATGAGCTCCTTCGGTGGTTGCAGCGACGACGGCGATGATGAGCACGAGCATCACAGTCACGGCTGCGTTTGCCATTTTCTTTTTCTTAGCGAAGAAGAAGAAATCGATGTCTAATTGAGGAAGGTGTTGGGTTTCTGTGGGATATCTTTGGGCTTGCAAAGGGTTAAATAATGCGAGAGGATACAAGGGATAAATTCCTTTTGTTCAAATTGCTCTCCTAACCAGCTGTTTGTGTTTGGGGTGCAAGTTATATTTTTGTTTCCTTTGGTTTTATGTTTCAAAAGTGCAAGTTCTTCATGATGGGGCCAACTAGTAATCAAGTGGGCCAACCTCTTTGACCAGTTAGAGTGTCTGAGTCTCTGAGATTTCCACCAAAACAAATGTCTTGAAATTCAAGGTATGTATACCTTCTTTGGAAAAACACCCAAAAACAAATTAAACTGATGTCTTGAAATTGCATTGGTCACCAGGTTCTCACCGTCATTACCCACCCATAAATTCATGCTTGCTGCAGGTACGAAAAAGCTGGGCTGGCCTACTGATTCTTGCCGACCCAAACATAAGGAATCCGGGATTCAATGGGATGCTATTGCTATTGTGCACGTTTGTTTACCTAACTAGGATAATCGGGAAAAATAAAGACATATAATCAGAATGCATGCATCCACATATATTTACCAGAAAAAAAATGCTAAAAATGAGATATGCATGCACCTATGTTAATACTATTTGGCTCGTTTACTAATTCATAATCAGCTTGAGGAGAAATATGATTGACGAGAAAATAGAATTAGATTTCTGTTAAAATTGTATACTAAACTATTTAGATCGGAGTAGAAATGATGTTATATAAGTTAGTTCACTCGAATTTAAAGTAAAACTAACTTGATTAATTAATGAAATTAAATTTTATAATATTAAAATTTACTTATATAAAATAATTAAAGAAGGCTTTCTTTTAATAAAAAGGATGGCTCTTTTATAAAAAAAAATATAAAATAAAATTGCCATCCTCAACCTCTTCTTCCCGATCTCCCTCACAACCTTTCATCCCATCCCTCTGCTCAATCTTTCTTTCTCCAACCTCCACAACGCTCCCACACCTCCCGCTTCCATAATCAAGCTTTTTTATTTCCTAGCCCGCACATCCTTCCCACCCCCGATCTGCTGATCCCCATAAATCCTCATTTGTCACTCTCGTTAATAGGTGATTGGGTGGAAATTTAATGTTGGGCCTTGTGAGGATGGAGGCCCAAGAATGCAAAAGCAAAAGTAAGATTGGGCTCGGACAAGTCAACAGGCCCAAGAAGAATTAAAACCATTTTAGCAAGGTATAGGCCACATGCCTATGTTAAAAGTGATGGGCGACATAAGGGCATCTCACCATCAGTAAAAAAACACTTTTATGGATGGTAAATTAAGGGTGACTCACTATTCTCCAAAGGCCATCAGCAAAAAGCAAAGCTTAGACAGTCGGGATAAATGTCTATAAAAGCATAAAGGGACACCAGAGACAAGTTCATACCCAGAAAGTTGTGTTTTGTCTAGACTTTGCCCTTTTTAGTCATAGATTCCCCATAGAAAGCCACATTTTGTCAAGTTTAGAAGCTCTGCTACCTTCCCTTAGTATTGTAGTATTGAATCCCTTTCGGAAACCCTTTTTACATTTCATTTTCCAGTGTCTACAACCCCCATAAACACAAAGAAAAGTGGTTGCAAGAAGTTGAACATTGCCCGACAAGATTAAATCTTGTCCGAGTCTCTTTTGTTTGTACTTACATAAAGTAGATATGTTGTTTAATGCATATCTCATTATGTTTTAAAATCACTTTCAACTGTTTTTCATTTGAAGTCTCATCTGTGATCAAATCCGGCTAAACTAATGAACCTGTTTTCTTTAAAGCAAACTGTGATAAAAGAAATGGTTGGAAGGGCCTTGAACCCCCTTCATTTTGGACATACAATATCATGAGTAAAGGTCCTTGTTTACAAGGCAAGAAAAAGAACCTTATGCAGACTTAACCCATCTATGACAATCCAATAAGATTAAGACGTTTAAAGTAACTTGTGGCGCAAGTAATGAACCCAATAAATAATCAATAAAGACAGTCTATTATATAAGGATAGCAGTGGCACACTCAGATCTATGTTAGCTTTGATTGTAAGCCTCAAGGCCTAACAAAGGCCCTACAAAGGCACCTTTCAAACTAACAGCAAACTCATATTGCAGCACACCAAGCAACAAACCTTGCCCGACAGGCAAGAGCCCTGGGGAGCTATGCAAGGGATAGATCCAGCCCGAACAATAGGTTCTACAAGTAGCTAAAACATCGTTTGTTAAAAAAAATACAATGTTAATGGTCTATTAAGTGTAAAGACACGTGTTGAAAAATTAAATAAGAATACACAGACGGGACATGTATTCTAAGACAGTAGGCCCGCAAACCTTTTTAAGAGTGTATAAAGTTTTTTTCCACTTACTTCTACATGTTTTCTAAAATTGTATGTTGGTTAAGAACAAAAGTTAGGAATGTTTGATAATCATAGATTCGAAGAAGTTTACAAAAAAATGCTTATATTATCACATTGTGAATCTCAATCTTGCATGTAGAAATTAGAGATACAAACAACATTACAGCCAATTATTTGATCAATGGTCACCATTTCTTTTCTAGGACGTATGACAAATTGCTAACTATTTTGAGTAGCCAAAGTAATTAGCTACTACAAAACCAAAAATAATTTCGTCTTAGGATAGTTGAGAGATGTAACAGTCGATCAATCGGTAGAATGTAGTTGTTTGACCAACATATAGGTGTCAATCAATCGACGACACCCGCATGCCGCAAAGTATTTCGTACTTTTGGTTCCGTTAGGTACCGTTTGGTACGCATACGGGACGGAACGGGACTGGGCAGAACAGATGTTCCGTGTTATGTTTGGTATGCGCAGGACGGAGCGGGATTGTTGTTCCGTTCTGTATTTGGTAAGCGCATGGACGGAACAGAACCAAAAGGTAAATGACTAAATTATCCATGTTCCGTCTGTTGTTTGGTACAACATTTATGTGTGGTACGGGACGGGACAGTTTTTTTTATTTTTTTATTTTTTTTAACTAAAAATGAGTAATAAAAACTGAAAATTTACTCGAGGAACTGCAGTAAAATGGCAAAATCAAACAAATTGGTAGAACTTCATGTCGTCTAAGATGACTAGATTAGTAAAATTCTGAATAAAATTCAACAGTACCAAATCGAAAACAAAAGTAGCATCCTGAATAAAATTTCCCCCAAAATTCTGACGCATAGCCAATGTTGGGTATCAATGCACATCCCTTGAACTTTCGCCTGACACGTGAATCAATACCCTTGGGCCTTCTCCAGCTTTCCTGCCATAAGCAAACATGCATTAAAACAAAACAACTTAATGCTAAGGCTCCAGGAAGCGAAGATGCACAGAGAAATATGCATCCCCGAGTTACTTAATCAGGTCACAAATGAAAGAAAAGCAATATATCTAAAAAATAAGACATTGAACCACATGATCACCCTACATGCATCGACTATACAGGACACACGGAGACAATGGTAGAATCATGGATGCTTAACAGGCAACATTATCTACCCTAAACAGAGAACATTAACAAATTCATTGTTGATCAGGAAAAGATGCACCATGATTCAAGGTTGTGAAGAGCACTTGACCACTGCTATGCCCAACATCATTAAAGCGATACAGAACCGGCACTATAAAAACAATTTGACACCTCCCATTCAAGATTTAAGTTTAAATGTCAACTTTACTGGACCCAAATCACTACAAACAAATACAAATGTAGTAACTAGTACTTCACACCATTAACTAGCAGATCTCACAATTAAGTGAATTAACCCCAATTTACCCATAACTTAATAGGTTATGAATTTATTAATCCCACTCAAATAGCCCATTGAAAATTCATATCCAAAACAGAAAATTTCTAACACATTAGAGTTGAAATCCCCACATAAATGTAATGATTCAAAAAATTAAATAAATATGAACAGAAATGAAATGAGCCAGAGATTCATACCTTGATATAGTTCATATCATACTAAACCCCCCCTAATGCTCAAATGTCATCCATAAATATTTTAATGAAATCTGGCTTGTCAGAGTCATCCAGGGTACACTGAAAAAAATCCAACAGAACCCAATCTAACAGAGGAAAATCCAAAACATAATCCAATCCAACAGAACCCAAAGACATCAGATTTGTAGATTTCAGCACATAAAAATCGAAACTTGAACACTGAAAAAAAATGAATCCAAATAGAGAGATACCTCTGAATGCAGATCGAACTTGGAACGGAGATGCAGAGAAATTCACGGAGAGGCACACGGAAGAGGATAAGGAAGAAGGTTACGAAGGGGAGATGCAGAGATGAAGAACTTCAGCGGCAAAGAAGAGGAAGATGAGAGGAAGATGTAGAACTTGCGGCAAAGATGAGGAAGATGTAGAACTTGCGGCAGAGAAGAGGAAGAGGAAGAATAGGGTTTGTTGTATGATTTAGGTGTAAATATTGAAAAAGCTAAGGGGTATTTTTGTCTTAAATTTTATGATTTTTGTGTTTCACGGGATGGAAAAACCCGTTCCAGGGAGGGAGGGAGAACCAAAATTTAACCCATTTTCGTTCCGTGGGACACGCGTTCCACATAATTTTAGCGCATCAAACATGAGACGGAACGCGTCCGTCCTATCCCACGTACCAAACGCACCCTTATGGAGTTCCTTCTAAGAAAATATAAATGTTAGTTTTAAAAATAAAATGCCAAATTTTAAAAGTGAAATTCTTTGTCTAAGTTTTTGGAGCTAAACTATATTTTGTGAATGGTGTTCAACTATTCGCACATATGTTTTTTTTTTCTTTTTTTGTACGAGGAGAATTTTATTGATATAAAAAAAAAAGGTACACCTAGTCAGGGGGAACATAAACTTAACTCCTCATAATACAAGAAAAAAGGATAAAAAAAATACAAGAAAAGAAGGGGGGACATAAACCTTACCCGTCTAGAAACAAAAACAACAAAGATACAAGGAAAAGAGGGGGAGGACATCTAACCCCTCTAAAGCCAAACCTAAAGGTCTAAACCTGCAAAACAAAACAAGCAACATCACAAGGTTAAGAAAAAAATTAAGAAAGTGAGACAAACCTGTATGCCGAGATGCTCATTAATTTGAGAAGCGAAAGCCAAGCAAGCCAACATAGTATGAAAACAAAGCA